CTAGGGGGTTGAACTAAGTCATTAACAGGGCAACCTAGAGAATGCAGAAGCATTTATTGGACCCCGTTCCAGTTCTTGCCTTTTTAACAACCCCCAAAATACAACAATGCTACCCTGTTGGGTCTCACCCACCCAACAGGAAAGACTAGAGGACTGGAAGTCGCCCCTAGACAACATTTTGGAGAAGGGGATTTCCCTTCTCATCCCATTCAGTGGATGCCTTCATCTGGGTGCTGGGAAAGGAACCTGGGAGCTGCGTGTCCCCCAGAGAGGAGGTCCAACTGGGGTCCGCAGAAGGCACGAGGCCCAGGGGTGAAATGCTCCCGGTTCAGATCGGATTGCCCGATCCGGTAGCGATGGCAGCGGGAGGTTCGGAGAACCGGTAGCAAAAATCCCTGCGCCCCCCCCCCCCCACCCTGCCCAGCTGAGCCCCCCCGACCACCGGGGGCTTTTTTTTTTTTTACTTTTAAAAGCATTTTTTCTACAACCTCTTCCGATGAAAAAATGCTTTTAAAAGTAAAAAAAAAAAAAGCCTCTGATGATCGCGCGGCTCAGTTGGGATCGTCAGAGGCTTTTCAAAACATTTTTTTCCGCAACCTCTTGGCCGAAGAGGTGGTTAAAAAAAATGCTTTGAAAAGTCTCCGACGATCCCAGCTGAGTTGCCGGATGCTTTGAAAAGTTTTTTTTTTTAAAAGTTGGCCATGCCCACCCAGTCATATTACCCCCCCACCAAGCCACACCCACAGAACCGGTAGTAACACATTTTACATTTCACCCCTGCACGAGGCCAGATGCTGAGACTCCAGAAAGAGTGCGGAGAAGAGCAATAAAGATAATAAGAGTTCTGGTGGTTTGAGTTAGATGGTTTAGCCTCTTAACAAAATGAAATTCAGTGGTGAAATAAGTAAGGTTTTCACTTAGGCAAGAAAAACCATATGCACAGGTACAGAATAGGTGGTACCTGTCTTAATAGCAGTAACTGTGAGAGGGATCTTGGAGTCCTAGTGGGCAATCACTTAAATACGAGCCAGCAGGGTGCAGCAGCTGCTAGAAAAGCCATGGAAATCCTAAACTGCATTAATCGAGGGACCGATTCAAGATCATGTGAAGTGTTAAGACCACTTTATCATGCCTTGGCAAGGCCACACTTGGAATCCGGCATCCAGTTTTGGTCACCACAATATAAAAAAAGATGTGGAGGCTCTAGAAAGAGTGCAGAGAAGAGCAACAAAGACGATTAAGGGACTGGAGGCTAAAACATAGGAAGAACGATTGTGGGAATTGGGGATGTCTAGTCCAGTGAAAAGAAGGACTAGGGGTGACACGATAGCAGTGTTCCAATATTTGAGGGGCTGCCACAAAGAAGAGGAGGGTCAATCTATTCTCCAAAGCACCAGAAGGCAGGACAAGAAGCAATGGATGGAAACTTATCAAGGAGAGAAGCAACTGAGAACTAAAGAGAAATTTCCTGACAGTTGAAACAATTAATCAGCGGAACGACTTGCCTCCAGAAGTTGTGGATGCTCCATCACTGGAGATTTTTAAGATGAGATCGGACAGCCATTTGTCTGGAATGTCTCTGGAGATTCTCAGTCATCCAGGTCATGGTTGTCCCAAAGGGGCTTTTTCAAAAGGCAGCTGGGCTTAGTTTTTCCTTGAAGACGTTTCGCTTCTCATCCCAAGAAGCTTCTTAAATTCTTCAGAAGTGAAGAAGCTTCTTGGATGAGAAACGAAACGTCTTCAAGGAAAAAAAACATGTCCAGTTGCCTTTTGAAAAAGCACCTTTGGGATTTGTCCGGAATGACATAGGGCCGTGATGGCGAACCTATAGCACTGTTGTGACTCCGACCCCCGAGGCCGACTTATCGGAGGGAGAAGGCTGCGAACATGAAGGAGAGGAGTTGGCCAGGCCTCCCTCTCCAGGACCCTCCTCTCTGGCAATGCCTCAGGTGTCTCCCGAAGGAGAAGAGATTGGCCAGGAGCCAGGTATCTCCTCGCAGTCAGACAGTGACGGAGATAAGTCTTGGCTGGATCCACGCCAGCGTCGGAGAGACAGGCGCACGCAGCAGAAAAGGAGGCGTGCCAGGGATTAAGCTGAGTCACTGGACCACACCCCACAGGGGATAAAAGGGGGTGAGGTGGCCATTCAGACTCTGTGACGGACAAAACAAACTACTAGCGAGTCACATTGTATCTTTGAAACAACGTTATCTGCCTTGGATTTAATACGGACTGGATTTGACAATTCTTGAACTGTGTGTATCTTGTTTGGGTTTATCTGTCGGAGGAACAACCCCTCCCTCTGAGTAAAGTTCTTGGCAAGCAGCTACTGGGTTGCTGCCAATCCTCTTATTGAAAGAATTTGTTGTCTGCCTGTTTTATTTAACCCCTGGCTATCTGTTTGTGTGCGTGTGTGAGACGGGGACAGAACAGGCACTCGTGCCACAGGTGGCATGCAGAACTCTATCGGTGGGCACGCAAGCATTGCCCTAGCTCAGCTCCCAGCTGATTTTCGGGCCTTCCGGGCCCACCAGAAGTCAGGAAACAGGCTATTTCCAACCTCTGGAGGGAGTGGGGAAGGCTGTTTTTGCCCTCCCCAGGCTCCAAGAAAGGTTCTGGAGCCTGGGGAGGGCGAAAAATGGATCTACGGGGCCCATTGTGCCATCGCGTGCCAAAAGCGGGGAAAGCACAGGGGTGTCACGCACGCATGTGCGTGTGGGTGAGGCATATTGAATTATGGGTGGGTGCTCCTCTCACTTTTGGCACACGACGGCAAAAAGGTTAGCCATCCCTGACATAGGGTCTCCTGCTTGAGCAGGGGGTTGGACTAGAAGACCTCTAGGGTCCCTTCCACCCTAGGATCCTATGTTGTACCAGCGTCAGCCTGAACCGAGAATAGAGGAAGCAGAAGAGGGAGAAATAAACAAGAGTGTGTAGCAACCAACAGTGCTTACGGACAACAATGTCCGTAAGTGCTTGGCAAAAATTTTGCCCTGAAGATCCTACAATTCGTATCTTGAAACTAATCCCTGGCATTAACAATTAAGGTCTTTGTTTTTGTGGAGTTTGAAATAGAAAATAGAGGACATTTATTGATGTCAAGTAGGCTAACGTGACATGCTGACTGGAAGAATGGGGTACATAACAGCCCGAAGGCAAAATAGCTGTTTTTTAACATATTTTTTGACACCCTGCCAACCGCATCTTGGGTGGGTCCGTTTTTGTGGTTTTTTCAGTTCTGGGTGTAGCAAGATCTCCTTCCTTGTTTTGTAGGTATCATGACCCCCTTTAAAAAAAAAAAAAAGAGCAAGAGACCAAAAAAAGAAACAAAGGAAAAAACATTATGCACGAGCAGAGATAACTCACATCCCAGTAATTTTTGATCACCGCACGTGAACTTTTGAGAGGCTTTACCAGATGAATCACATCACACCGCTGAACAGTTGCTGGTGAGGGACTCATTTTTTGAGCAGGTGAGTTTGGGGGGGGGGGACCTGGGGGGGGGAAACTGGGGGGGGGGACACAATTAAAAAAAAAAAGAAATATTTTCCCTTTCCATCTTCTCTCTGTTCAATCGTTCAATGTTCTCCAACCTCCTTTGCAAGTCTTCTTCTTCTTCTTCTTCTTCTTCTTCTTCTTCTTTCTTCTTCTTCTTCTTCTTCTTATTATTATTATTATTATTATTATTATTATTCCTTTTCTCCTGCCTCTGGCATCATTGGAAGGGATAGCTGGCAGCCTGATGCTCGGAGAGGAGCTGTGTTCAAACTCTGCCCTAGACCGTCCTTGGCTTAACCCTGATTTGTGGGCTAAGACCATTAACCGTGATGGATATTCCAGAACAGGTTCTCACTGCATTTTAACACCAAACTCCAGGAAAGTCACTTTTGCATCAAACGTGATTATCCATCCCAAGGATTGGAGGCTGCCACAGGCTTGGTTATATGATGGGCAGCTATAGACATGCTTTGAATCAAGAAATTAAAAAAAAAACAAACCTATTATCTATTTTGAGTAACGAAATCTCTCTGGCTAAAGAAGGGTTTTTCCCTTGCTTTTTTGTCCCTGGACAAAAAAACATAGGGGGAATCCCATGCCATCTCCCAGTACTAGAAGACAGAAAAAAGAGATAAGCATTGGTTGATTCTCTAATCGCCTATCTCCGACAGTTATCGCACGGTAGATCCTTTCCCTTATCCCTTCCCTGGCTTTGAATCCAGGATCTTCCACTCTCGGATCGATTTGGTTTCTATAAATCTCAAGACTGGAAGCCACCCGCTCAAGTTTAGGAGAAAGACTGCAAAATTTCTCCTCAGGTTTCCCCCTGGAAGTGAAGTTTCATCAGATTTAGGGACAGATTTGACCTGCGTGTTACAGTGTGGCTGCGTTCACACAACCTAGTCAAGTAAAGACTTAACCAACGGATTGATTTAACGTTTCCCTTAGTTATTTTTTTTCCCCCTCGCTCAGCGTAGTCTGCGCCTCAGAACCGACGGGTGAATTTACAGTTCGATGTAATGTGTGAATGCGGAAAAATGGGTTTGTTTAATAACTGGGTTAAAAGTGTGATATGGACCCAGCTGTTTGGCAAGATTTTCTCTCTCTATGGTGGGGTCGGCTCTCCCGGTAGAGATGGCCGTGATTTCTTTTGCTTTTGGCTTGAGATGTGATCTAGGAATCACAGTTTGTCGAACAAACCAGGTTTAAAGTAAATCATGGCATCGTATAATGAGCAATTTGCAGCCATCGGGCATGTCCACATATTAAGCCGTTATTTAGTAGGGATGTTTGAAATGGATTAATTCTGGAAGCAGCAATGGAAAAAAAAAATAGAGCAGGGACTAAATGATATTTTTTCCCCCCGTTGTCCTAAAATCTCTATTTTTGAAATTAACATGGCACTAAATCTGTATTTTCCCCCCCTTCTCACTGCTTTTTCTTCATAGCATGTGGCGATTTTATCACTTGCCATCTTTTATTCTTTTTTTTAAAAAAAAGTATACTTTTTTTTCTTCTTCTTCTTCACCGCAACACTTTTATTTAAGAGCTTAAATCTGTAGTTCTTCTTTTGGCGGTCAAAGGATTGATGGAGCGGTTTTCTGCAAGAGAAATCGATTAGAAAAACCGATTTTGTGTGAAATCTTCCCTGGATTTAAGGATCCTGGGATGTCCTTTCTTAGTTTTTTTTTAACCGCACCAGACCCGTGATTTAGGATAATAGATTAAAAACTCTTTTTTTAAAGACTCTTAAGTCATGGGTTGTGATCTTCGGTTTACTGACTCAGCCACAACTGATTAGGGTGACCCAAATATAAGAAACCAGGATTTACATACTCCGGTAGCCGGAATGAAGCATCGTGCTAAACTATAACCAAGCCAAAAAAAAAAACCCCAAACCCCAGGTTATGACTAAGCTTGAATCGTGAATGTAAATTACTCATCAAATGAGGGAATTCTTCCAGAGTCCTCTTACTAGGTTTTACAAACCGCACATAAAAATGGTTTATTTATAACGTCCACCCACCTTCCAGGTGCCTTCCAACCACAAACGAAAACGAACAAATAGAAACGGAACCGTGGTTAAAATTAGCTTGATTGATTTATGCAATGCCTTTATTGATTTATGCAGAATCTGGGCAAAATTCTCCCGAATCTTTAACTATTTCTCCGCTGCGAGAAAATGAAATCCAGGTTTAAGAGTTATATGTGTGTAAGCTTCGCGATGATACAGCTGCTTGTGTGGATGCGGGTGGGCAGCACTGCAGGGGTGGTGTCGAGACGCATTCCCGTTTCCCCAGCAACTACAGGTAGTCCTCGGTTTTACGGCCGTAATTGAGCCCAAAATTTATGCTGCTAAGTGAAACATTCGTTAGGTGAATTTTGCCCCATTTTTACGACTTTCCTTGCCACAGCTGTTAAATGAATCGTTGCATGTGTTAAATGAGTAACACGGCTGTTAAGTGAATCTGGATTTCCTCGTTGGCTTTGCTCGTCAAAAAAGGTCGCAAAAGGGGAATCACGTGACCTTGGGACACTGCGACCGTCATAAATATGAACCGGTTGCCAAGCATCTGAATTTTGATCATCCTTGGGGATGCTGCAATGGTCTTAAGTGTGAATCACGGTCATAAGTCACTTTTTTCATTGCCGTGATAACTTTGAACGGTCACTAAATGAACCGTTGTAAGTCGAGGACTACCTGCAATGGTGATAGTGTTCCTACCGGATTAAGGAGTTGGGCCAACCCTGGAAAACCAACTTCTGCTCCATTCTCATTTCTGAAAGTTTCCTGGAGGATGTTGAGTCTTTAAGTCTTTGTCTGCCTGGCCTACCTTGCAGGGGTGTTATGGGGAAAACAGGAAGAGGGAGAACTAAGTACTCTGCTTTGAAGACCTAGAATTAAACGTGGTTGCTTTATAAATGTCAATACAGATAGTGCTCAACTTACAAGTATTCATTTAGTGACGGCACTGAAAAAAGTAACTTAAGTTATGACCGGTTATCACACTTATAGCAGCATCTCCCAATGGTCATGTGATTGATATTTGGCCACTTGGCAATTGGCATATATTTATGACCATTTCACAGTCCGAGGATCATGTGATCCCCTTTTGCAACCTCCCCCGTTGGCTTCCGACAAGCAAAGTCAACGGGGGAAGCCGAATTTGCTTAACGACTGCACGATTCACTTAACAACGGCAGCGATTCTCTTAACGTAAGCCTTGGTAGTACAGTGGTTTAAAGCACCCTGTTATTAAGACCAGCTGCCTGCAATTACTGCAGGTTCGAATCTCGCCAGGGTTCAAGGTTGACTCAGCCTTCCATCCTTTCCAAGGTAGGTAAATTGAGAACCCAGTTTGTGGGGGCAATAAGCTGACTTTGTATAAATATACAAAAGAATGAAGGCTATTGCTTAGTGCATTGTAAGCCGCTCTGAGTCTCCAGAGAAGGGCGGCATATAAATCAAATTAAAAAAAAAACGTAAGCGAATGTCGTAAAATGGGGCGCAGCTCACTTAACAACTGCCTGCTTAGCAACGGAAATTTGGGGCTCGGTTGTGGTCGTAAGACGAGGACTAACCGCAATAAGAAATCTAAATGGCACTAATAAGTAGTAATCACAATGGCAGCTGGTACAATAATCCGCAGCCTCTCCCTTGCAGCCCGGCACAGTGTGTGTGTGTGTGTGTCTGTGTGTTTTGTGCCATACACACAGCTTTGGGGGTTAAATCACTGCAGTTCAGTTAGTAACACGGTTGTTAAATGAAATCTGGCTTCCCCATTGACTCTGCTTGTCAGAGGTCGCAAAAGGGGATCAGATGGACACTGCATCCATCCTAAATCTCAGGGGTTGCCACAAAGAAGAGGGAGTCAAGCTACTCTCCAAAGCACCTGAGGGCAGGACGAGAAGCAACGGGTGGAAACTAATCAAGGAGAGAAGCAACTTAGAACTAAGGATAAATTTCCTGACAGTTAAAACATTTAATCAGTGGAACAGCTTGCCTCCAGAAGTTGTGAATGCTCCAACACTGGAAGGTTTTAAGAGGATGTTGGATTCTGTTATTATTAACCATTTGTCTGAAGTGGTGTAGGGTTTCCTGCCTAAGCAGCGGGTTGGACTAGAATACCTCCAAGGTCCCTTCCAACTCTGTTATTCTATTCAATTCTACACCCAAATTTTCATCACTTCATCATGTTGATGCTGCAACATTCGTAAGTGTGAAAACTGGTCATAAGTCACTTTTTCAGTCACGTCGTAACTTCGAATGGTCACTAAACGAATGATGGTCAATCGAGGACTACCTCTAAATAAAACGTAAAATCCTATTTGTCCCATCCCCCCCCTTTCTTCCTGTCAGAAATTGCCTTGATTCACTGATTCTAAAGAAAAACCACCGTTTCCCTCTTTTTCCCCCGACTAGAAAAAAGGCCTATTGCAGCGGAGAGATTTTGAAATTTCTAAAGTCTCTTTTGATCGCCGAGGTCATGTACTCATCAAAGAGAGAAGAGCGGTAAATTGATTGCACTGTACTGATTAGGAAACCCTCGTGCAGATTGCTCAAGGGTTTTAAATAATGACCGGGGTCGCGTGCCGACGAAGCAAAAAAAAACAAAAAAGCCGGTAAACTGATTGCATCGGCGTGCTGGAATGGTGCCAAACCCCAAAATTAGAAAACAGCATGCTGACGGCTGTAGAAAAGGCAAATGCTATTGCAACACTTTTAATCTGCTTTTCCTTTTTCTTTTCTTTTCTTTTCTTTTCTTTCTTTCTTTCTTTTTTTTTTTTGAATTTACACCAGGCTTCCTTTTGCAGTCCACGGGCGCCTCTACCAGGAATCGTTCTGCAACCTGAGGCAAAGAATTTGAAGGCTCGCGTTGGCGCATCGCTTCCTCTCCGGAGATGCTCGTCCGGCCTTTGCATCTTCCAATCCAGTTCAGCTTCTCGGAAGCCGGATTCGGACACCTGGGTTTTGCAACCCGTGTGCGGCTGCTGTCCTGAAAGAAGCTGCTCTCTTTTCCTCCTCTGGCAACGCAGCTGGTGTCCTCGCCACGTCTTTCCAACCACAAGCCCACCTGCATTGCCCACTGCGATTCCTTTTCTCCACAACGGTTTCTTTTCTCCACAACATGACGGACCGAAACCAGCTGTCCTTCTCCTCCTCCTCCTCTTCCTCCTCCTCCTCCCTCCCTCCTTCATTCCCTACTTCTGCCTTCAAGCCAGCGCTTGGCTCCGTCCGTGGCCAGCAGTCCTGCTCTCTCCTGACCGCCACCGAGGATTTCAACATCATTCTGTACCATTACAACCTCACCGGACGGCTGAGCCACCGGCGTCCCGAGGAAGACCACCTTGACGTCCTCAAGATCATCATCATCGCCGCCAGCTGCCTCATCATTTTGGAGAACCTGGTGGTCCTGATGGCCATCCTCTTTAAGGTGAGAAGCCGACGTTGGATTTTCACCTGCCTGGCCAGCATCTCTTCCAGCGACCTGCTGGCCGGGATCGCTTACTTGACCAACCTCTGCTTGTCAGGCCGGACGACCTTCCAGCTGTATCCCTACATGTGGTTTCTCCGCGAGGGGATCCTTTTCATCGCCTTGGCGGCCTCCACCTTCAGCCTGCTGGTAACAGCCATCGAGCGCTTTAGCGCCATGGTGAGGCCCATCGCGGAAAGCGAGTCCGTCAAGACGTGCCGTCTCCGGAACTGCATTTTCTTATCTTGGTTCTTGGCCTTTGTGATCGGCCTGCTTCCTTTGTTCGGCTGGAACTGCATTTGCGACGTGCCTCGCTGTTCCACTTTGCTGCCTCTTTACGCCAAGAATTACATCCTCTTCACCGTCATCATGTTCAGCATCATCCTGGTGGGCGTGGTGAGCCTCTACTGCTCCATTTACTGCTGGGTTGGGAAGCGGGTCAAGCTGGGCTTCTCCAACGGAAGCCGGAAGAGGTCCCTGCGGCTGCTGAAGACGGTGCTCATCATCCTCCTCACCTTCCTGATCTGCTGGATCCCTCTCTTCCTGTTGCTGCTGATCGACATCTTCGACAAGAACAAAGCCCTGAAGCTGCAGAACGTCTTCGGCTGGTTCGTCACCTTGGCGGTCTTCAACTCCTTCATCAACCCCATCGTCTACTCTTTGAAAAGCAAAGAGGTGAGGCGGGCCGTGGTGGAGCTGCTCTGCTGCTGCTGCATCTCGGCAGGGTGGCAAGGCCCCCGCGGCTGCCTCGCCCCCAGCGACCATCCCCCCAGCTCCTCCACAGAGGTGGGGAGCTCCTTGAAGGTGCGCGAGAGCTTCCGGAGCCCCGTGATACAGAAACGGACCGCCAGGAAAGAACCTCTCTCCAGCAACTCCAGCATGCTGAGCGCTTTGGTGGTCAGTGATGGCTCCGGCCAACCTTACCCACAAGGTTAGAAGATAGGTCTTCTGCAACATACCGAGACCTTTGAATGGCTGATGCCCGATGAGAGGACTTGCTCAGTCCGTTGCCCTCTTCGATGACCAGTGGTCAGCCAAGGGTCAACCAGTCGACCAGTGAAATGCAAAAGACGTCCTGTTCCAAGCACATCTTCCTTGGGCAACCTCACGCGTTCTGAAGAGGTTCCTTGTTCTTGACTTCGCTGGCTGATGTCAGCCCTTCCTTCCCTTTCATCCAGCTGCTTGGCCTTGATTTCTGACATAACCCTTCGTTTTCACCGGCTGATTTCTTGCAGGACTCAGTGCCTCTGTAGGAACGCAACTGAATCTCAAAAGCTGGAGCAGCCCAGGGGTGAAATCCAGCAGGTTCTGACAGGTTCTGGGGAACAGATAGCGGAGATTTTGAGCAGTTCGGAGAACCGGCAAATGCCACCTCTGGCCGGCCCCAGAGTGGGGTGGGAGTCAGGGGTGGGTTCTACCTACTTTTACTACTGGTTCGCAACGGGATCACATGAGCAGATCGCTGATGACGACATCCGGGGCGGTGGGCGGGGCCTGCCACTGGTTTTACTACCGGTTCTTGCGAACCGGTCCTAACCGGGAGCAACCTACCACTGGTGGGAGTGGAGATTTTGCAATATCCTTCCCCCTGGAGTAGGGTGGGAATGGAGATTTTTGCAGTATCCTTTCCCTGCCACGCCTACCAAGCCACGCCCACAGAACCAGGAGTAAAAAACAATTGGACTTCACCACCGGAGCAGCCTATTCTATGACTGTATTGACACACAATTCTTCTAATGGGTTCCGAGATAAATGAGAAAACTCTTGTTAAGAAAAGAGGACAGGTAGTCCTCAACTTACAACAGTTTGTTTGGTAACCGTCCAAAGCCACAACGGCACTGGAAAAAAAGTGACTTATGACTGTTTTTCACACTTTACAACCATTGCATCTCCATGATTGCCTGATCAAAATTCGGGCACTAGGCAACTGATTCGTATTTATGATGGTTACAGTGTCCCCCTGGGGTCACGTGATCCCCTTTTGCGACCTTCTGACAAGCAGAGTCAACGGGGAAATCTGATTCATTTAACGACGGTGGCAAGAAAGGTCATAAAATGTGCCAAAACTCATGCAACAACTGTCTGTAAATCAAAGACTACCTGTATTCTACCTTGGGGCATTCTTACTGGATTGGTACATCCAGTAATTTTTTTAAATAAGCTTACAGCAATCGGAATCAGATAGGTATTTTGCTTCATATCCAACAGTACAATGGGACACTCGCTGTATTTTATTAAGACTTTTTTAAAGCCTCATCATCCATCCATCCGTCCGTCCGTCCATCCACTGGGATGACAACTGAAATGGTCAAGGGATTATTTCCCACTTGTTTAAAAAGTTACAATTACAGCAAAGGCCAGTTCTTCGTAGAAAGTATTTTCAAATGTATATACGTCGACTGAATTCCGCTGCTGAAATAGATTTTCTTTTGTCCTATGTAGACTTTGTGTTCAGCTTAGATTGAACATTCTTAGACCGAATGTATTTTTTTTTTACAAATTATTCTTTTATTCATGAACTGCATTTCTCTTGCAAACCGAAACAAACATGAGTACAGAAATCTGGTGTGAATGTATGTATGTTTTCCTCTTTTTTTAAAATAACCTGCCTTGAAAGTTTCTTCTTGAGATGCTAAAAAGTATTAAATAAATAAGCTAAACGTATCATGCGTGGTCAGAAATAGCCAGTTTTCTGTTTTGTGTATTGGGAAGAAGGACGAAAAGCAAACGCAAATCTCCCAAGTGTTTTCCAAACTCAACAATTTTTAAGATTGTGGGCTTTATGTCTATAGAGATTCTCAGCAGGGGTGGGATTCAGAAATTGTAACAAGCAGTTCTCTGTCAGATTGCTGGGTGGGCGTGGCCATGGTGGCCATGGCCTACTTGGCTTCCTGCATCATGGGGGGTTGTTTTCGTCCTCCCCAGACTCCGGAGGCTTTCCTCAAGCCTCTGGGAGGGCAAAAACAGCCTCCCCCAGGCTCCAGAGGCCCTCCGGAGGCCGGAATGGGCCCATTTCCAGACTTCCAGAACTTCTGGGAGGCCCATTTTTCGCCCTCTCAGAGCCTCCGCATGGGCCCTGCACTTACCTGGCATCCAAAACAGGCTGTGTGGAGACTCCTGGGAGGGGAGGGGTGGGTGGGGTCAGCCAGTCCTTGCAACAACCAGGAGTCCTGGTGGCGCAGCATACTAAAGCACTGTTATTAACAATGTTATTAACAGCAGCTGCCTGCAATTACTGCAAGTTCTAATCTCACCAGGCTCAAGGTTGACTCAGCCTTCCATCCTTTCTAAGGTAGGTTAAATGAGGACCCAGTTTGTGGGGGCAATAAGCTGACTTTGTATAAATATACAAAAGTATGAAGGCTATTGCTTAACGCATTGTAAGCCGCCCTGAGTCTCCGGAGAAGGGCGGCATATAAATCAAAATTTAAAAAAAACAACCAGTTCGACGAACCAGATTAAAATTAACATCCGGTTCGCCCAAACTGGTCCAAACCAGCTGAATTCCACCCGATTCTCAGTCCTCCAGGTCATAGTTGTCCCAAAGGTACAACTGGACTTTGTTTTTCCTTGAAGACGTTTCCCTTCTCATCCAAGAAGCTTCTTCAGTTCTGATGGTTCTTCAGTTCAATCAGAACCGAACAAGCTTCTTGGATGAGAAGGGAAACGTCTTCAAGGAAAAGCAAAAATTCAGTTGCCTTTAGAAAAATGCACCTTTGGAGCATTGTGGCCTTCAACGCCTAGGAGGCTGGCTTGGGACATTCTGGGAATTGAAGTCTACACATCATAAAGTTGCAAAGGTTAAGAAACCTCAAGACATTTTAGCAATCCACGGACGGAAAGTATGAATTGCATAGCATGAGCGAGAAAGGACCGATTAGAACATTTTGTGCTGAACAAGGGTGTCCCTCAAAGTTTGAGAAATTCCATGGGAACAATTTTTCTTAAACAAGAGAAAATGTAATTTAGCTTGGATCTTATGTCACTCATCCGTTTACAAAAGAGGACCTGAGATTCACTTGCATCCGGAGCAGCTGTTGATCAATGCTTACCCATGATGTTGTAACTCTTAGCGTTTCCTACCCTGGAATAGGATTTCATAGGTTAATCATAGAAAGGGTATGGGGCCCAAAAACTATGATGCTTGCACTATTTACAAACTATATATACAAACCACTCCATGCATCTGATGCAGTGAGCTGCATTTCAGAAAGTTTCTGCCTTTGAATAAAATTGGTGAGTCGCAAAAGAGGCTATCAGACTTCTGATGTTGGGCTATCCTGGATCACATTGGCTGGGGTGTTCTGGGAGTTTAAATCCACCCGTTTTAAAGCATTGCAGGCTGGGGAATTCTGGGAGTTGAAGTCCATCTGTCTTAAAGCATTGCTGGCTGGGGAATTCTGGGAGTTGAAGTCCATCCGTCTTAAAGCATTGCTGGCTGGGGAATTCTGGGAGTTGAAGTCCATACGTCTCAAAGTTGCTGAGGTTGTGAAACACTGCCCTAAGATAACACACTGCTTACATACACTATTTACACTACAAGTAATCCTTAACTTATGACCACAATTGAGCCCCAAATTTCCATTGCTAAGAGAAGGCAGTGTTTGGATAAAATTTGCTCCATTTTATGACCTTTGTTGTTAAACAAATCATGCAGTCATGAAGTGAATCTGTCTCCCTTTCCTTTACTAGTAGGAAGTCAGCTGGGAAGGTTACAACTGGTCACCCCATGATCTCAGAACACTGCAAGCACCAGTGGTGAAGCACCCACATTTTGATCACGTGACTGTAGGGATCCTGCAATGGTCGTAAGTGTGAAATAATGTGTGAAATAATAATAATGTGTGAAATAATGTGTGGCTCATTGCCCCACATTTCCTAGTCATACCACAACTAATTGCAACGATCTACTACATATTGATTTTACAGAAAATAACATTGAAAAGGCACTACGCAACCTAAAACCATCTCTATCTATTGGCCCTGATGGATTATGTGCCTACTTCTTAAAAAAGCTTTCCACTGCCATAGCAGAACTTCTAAGCACAATCTATGAATTATCTTTCAGAACCAGCTCCTTGCCTAACCTATGGTCATTAGCCACGGTCATCCCTATCTTCAGAAAGGGAGACCCCAGCCTAGTTGAAAATTTCAGACCAATCTCACTGTGTTGTGTCACCTGCAAAGTCATAGAATCAATCATAAACCAATCCTTTACCCTCCACTTAGAGTCAAACAACCTACTCTCTAACAAGCAGTTTGGTTTCAGGAAAAATTTGTCCTGTAATTTGCAACTCCTACACTGCAAAAACATATGGACGACACAACTCGACCAGAGTAAAGCAATAGACACAATTTACAGAGACTTCTGCAAAGCCTTTGATTCAGTGGTACATGACAAACTACTGTTAAAACTAAGCTCTTATGGCATTTCCGGATCCCTGCATAAGTGGATAGCTGTGTTCCTGTCAAACAAGCAACAAGTAGTCAAAATAGGGAGCGCCCTATCAAACCCTCCACCAGTTAACAGCGGTGTCTCCCAAGGCAGCGTTTTAGGACCCACACTCTTTAAACTTTACATAAATGACATTTGCGATCATATTATAAGCAGCTGCATCCTCTTCGCTGATGACGTAAAACTATTCAACACCACTGACAATGCTGCTGCCCTACAAAGCGATCTTGACTATGTGTCAGAATGGTCAAACAATTGGCAACTCCAAATCTCAACCAACAAATGCTCCGTCTTACACATTGGCAAAAAAGATCAGAACACCAAATATAAGTTGGGCGGATACGATCTCATAGACAACCCTCGCTCTGTCAAGGACCTTGGAGTACTCATCTCAAACGATCTGTTAAACGATTTAACAGCATTGCCAAAAAGGCATTAAGAGTTGTAAACCTAATCTTGCGAAGCTTCTTCTCCAGTAACATTGTACTGCAAACTAGGGCATACAAAACCTTTGCTAGACCAATTCTCGAATACAGCTCGTCTGCCTGGAATCTGCACTGTATATCGGGCATTAACACAATTGAGCAAGTCCACAGGTATTTCACGAGAAGAGTACTCCACTCCTCTGCTCACAACAAAATACCTTATGCCACCATGCTTGAAATTTTGGGCTTGGACAACCTAGAACGGTGATGGCTAACCTTTTTGCCATCGCTTGCCAAAAGCAGGGGGAGTGTGTGTGTGTGGGGGGGAGGTTTGCGCGCATGCATGCCCACACCCATAACTGTATGTGGTGCTCCCCCCGCTTTTGGCACATGATGGCACGGTGGGCCCGGTAAGCCCGTTTTTCGCTCTCCCCAGGCTCCAGAGCCTTTCTAGCTGAAGTAGTCATTGATAGGTGAATAATTGTACCGAATAATTTAGTGTACTATGTTTAAGTCGGACTGTAGGCAGCATAGTTCTAGGTCTGTGATGGCGAACTTATGGCATGCCTGCCACAGGTGGCACGCGGAGTCATATTGGTGGGCACATGAGCTCAACTCCAGTGCGCGTATGCGCGCCGGCCAGCTGATTTTCAGGCCTTCTGGACCCACTGGAAGTCAGGAAACAGGCTGTTTCCGGCTTCTGGAGGGCCTCTGAGGGAGTGGGGAAGGCCCATTTTTTGCTCTCCCCAGGCTCCAGAGCCTTTCTAGAAACCTGGGGAGGGCGAAAATGGCTTTCCCCACCCCCCGGAGGCCCTCCGGAGGCTGGAAACGGCCTGTTTGCCGATGTCCGGTCCCACAAATGGGCCTCCGGGGGGGGGGGCCTCCGGGGGGGCCTCCGAGGAGGTGGGGAAGGCTGTTTTTGCCCTAGACAGGCTCTGGAGCCTGGAGAGAGCGAAAAACGGGCCTTCCCCATCCCCCGGAGGCCCTCCAGAGGCCGGAAATGGCCCGTTTAGCTAAACTAAATAAATAAATTAATAAAATAAAAAGGTCATAGGTTACTTTTTCCAATGCTGTTGTAACTTCAAATGGTCACTAAACAATGGTTGTAAGTTGAGGACTATCTGTACTCAAACCCAGATAGATTGCTTTGGCTAGAGATGTACGTAGTTTGCTCACAATCAGGCGGCTGTGAGTTCGATCCTAGGTAGCAGCAGATATTTCTCTCTCTGGGCACAATGAGTATATATATCTGCTGCCAACTCTGCATTGGTGACAGGAAGGGCATCCGGCCAGTAAACACTCAGCTCCATTCCGTTGCACCGACTCCACCCTTATGCAAAGGATTATGGGATCACTAAAAGAAAAAAAAATGTACATAGCTTGCTTCTAATCACTCTGGAATTAGCTATTTCTCCCATGCAATGACAGGATTTAGGTAAGCTTTTAGGCAAACTTTAAATCCTGAATGACACATACATGATCAGTAGTTCATTTTCACATGACAACGACTTCTGGAAAATTTCCTTGAAGAGTTTTGCACATTATATTCACTAACGCATGAAAAAATACTGTGATCAATACACATGTCTTTTTAATAAAACTTATTCCCTCACTTTTGTGATAGCTGTAACCGGAATATTAACAAAAGATTGAAAACTCGACTTGTTTTCTGTTCTCGTTTAACAGATCAAATTTGCTCTTTGTCTATAGAAAAGCAATGGATATAACAAGTTATTTTTCAAACTTGGCAACTTAAAAAGACGACTGGACTTCAACTCCCATAATGCCCCAGGTAGCTTAGGCATTCTGGGAGTTGAAGTCTGCAAATGCTGACTGGGGCATTCTGGGAACTGAAGTCCACTCATCTTAAAAGTTGCCAAGTATGAAAATCATTGGGATAAAAAGCATAGTACTGTACAATTGAGAAATCATAGGGGGGAGGGGAACTGAAAAGGAACCCGGAATTTTAGGATCTGCATATCTCTATTTTTACATATCTCTATGTCATCATGTGGTAATAATTCCTATCTCTACGGCCTCTTTTTCCCATCCACCAACGCGAGAGAAGCTTCCCAGCAAGCTTTGCGCGGCTCAATGCTTTAGGGGGCAAGGAGAGAGTTCTATTTCCCATCGTGCCTTGCGCACTCGGGCAACGACCAAAAAAAAAAAGACCCCGTTTTATTTCCCAGCCCGCTCTGCGCATGTCCTATGCCGCGAGATTTACGCGCGTGTCTCAAAGACGATCCCTCCCCCACCCCACCAACGGCGAAAAGAATTCAGGGTGGTAGTAAGCGGAGAAAGACTCCATTTCCCAGCATGCCTTACAAAGAAGCGCTCGTTCGCTTTCTCTTTCTCTCCTATGGAGCTGAGGGAGACAAATTCCATTTGACACCCGCCTCCCCGAGCGTTAACGTACGATTTTAAAAGATTTCCCTTCGAAAGGCGAGGAAGGTCGGAGAAACGCCTCAGAAGAAGAAAAGGGGGGGGGGAAAGGCACCTCCGTTTCCCAGCGTGCCTTGCGGCGGAGAGAGAGAGAGAGAAAAAGGCGGTTGGGAGTGGCACGTGACCCTCCCCGCTTCCCAGAAAGCCTCGCGCGGAGGAGGCGGCGCCAAGGCCGTCGGACTCCATTTCCCGGCGTCCTCCGCGCCCCTTCCCTGACTGAGGCGTTTTTCTCTCCTCGTCCCTTCGAGCCCGGGAACCGCCGCCGCCGTCGTCGTCGTCGTCATGCTGGAAGAAGCCGGCGAGGAGGTGCTGGGCTCGGTGCTGCTGAAGGCCTCGTGCCTGCCGCTCAGCTTCCTGCTGGTGCTGCCCGCCGTCCTGCTGCTGCTGCTGGGCCCGCCGCCGGCTTCGGCCGCCCACGAGTTCACCGTCTACCGCATGCAGCAGTACGAGCTCGGGGGGGCAGCCCTACGGTCAGTGAGGGAGGGAGGGGCGACGACGACTCTCTGCCCCTCTCTTCAGGGCCTTCCTCCTCAGCCCACCCCGCAGGGACGGACCCCAGCTCCCATCCGCCCCCCCCCCGCTCACCAAGGCTGGGGACGATGGGAGCTGGAGTCCGGCCCGCGTATGGGCGGGCTCTGGGCCCTGAGAAGCCCCGGGGGTGGGTGGGGTGGAGGCCCGGCCTTCGAGAAACCTTGCAATAAAGACCTTCTCGTTCCCCTTCCCCAGCTTCGCCTTTGCTAACCTGACAAGAGGGGTGGGGGAGGAGCTGATTCATTTCCCCCCCCAGCCCTCATTTTGAGATAGGAACCCACCCCCCCCATAGGCCTTCCAGAAGGTTCCCTCATTGGGGCAAATGGCCCTGATATTCAAGCAGCCCCCAAGGGCTTTAACCAGGGGCAGCTGGTGGGTGAAGGGGTCGTTGGTGCTCTCTGAGCTGGGTTGTTTTCTTGCAGACCTTTCGTGAACCACCTAGGTAGCATCATCAGTGCTAGAACAGGATGAGATTTGTGGAAAGGGGGAGGAGGGAAGGAAGGAAAAAAGAAAGACAGACAGACTGTGGGGTCCTTGATGTTCTCTGAACTTGGTTGTTTTCTTGCAGACGTTTCATGACCCACCTAGGTAACATCATCAGTGCTAGAAGAGTGTGGGGTTTACAGAGAGGAGGAGGGCTTGTGGGGTGCTTGGTGCTCTCTGAGCTTGGTTGTTTTCTGGCTGACGTTTTATGACCCACCTAGGTAACATCATCAGTGCTAGAACAGGATGAGATTTGTGGAAAGGGGGAGGAGGAGGAGGAAGGAAGAGAGAGAGAGAAAGAAAAAGAAAGAAAAAAGAAAGACTGTGGGGTCCTTGGTGCTCTCTGAACTTGGTTGTTTTCTTTCAGACGTTTCATGATCCAAGCTAGGTAGCATCATCAGTGCTAGAACGGGATGAGATTTGTGGAAAGGGGGAGGAGGAGGAGGAGGAAGGAAGAGAGAGAGAGAGAGAGAGAGAGAAAGAAAAAGAAAGAAAAAAGAAAGAAAGAAAGACAGACTGTGGGGTCCTTGGTGTTCTCTGAACTTGGTTGTTTTCTGCAGACGTTTCATGACCCACCTAGGTAACATCATCAGTGCTAGAAGACTAGGGTTTACAGAGAGGAGGAGGGCTGTGGGGTGCTTGATGCTCTCTGAGCTTGGTTGTTTTCTTGCAGATGTTTTATGACCCACGTAGGTAACATCATCAGTGTGGTGGTGGTGGTGGAGGACGACGACGACGGTGGGGTCCTTGGTGCTTTTTGAGCTTAGTTGTTTTCTTGCAAACATTTCATGACCCACCTAGGTAACGTCATCCTGAGTAGGTGGCTCAGTGGCTAAGATAACTGAGCTTGTCGATCAGAAAGGTTGGCAGTTCGGCGGTTCGAGTCCTTAGTACAGGTCTCCTGCGTGAGCAGAGGGTTGGACTAGATGGCCTCCAAGGTCCCTTCCAACTCTCTTACTGTTACTATGAGTGCTAGAAAAGGAGCGGGCTTGGTGGAAAGGATGAGGAGGACTGTAGGGAGGGGGTCTTTGGGACTCTCTGAGCTTGGTTGTTTTCTTGCAGAACGTTTCATGACCCACCGAGGTAACATCAGTAGTAGTAAGGGGGTAGGGTTTGCTGTCAGTTTTATATACTGGTGGCTGATGATGTGACCTAGTTTGGGTCATGAAACGCCTGCAAGAAAACAAATAAGCTCAGAGAACACCAATGACCCCACAGTCCCCTTCCTCCTCCTGTCCACCAAATCCACCCCTTTTGTAGCACTGATGATGTTATCTAGTTTGAGTCACAAAACGTTGGCAAGAAAACAACCAAGCTTGGAGAGCACCAAGAACCCCACATTCCTCGTCTTTTAAGGCTAATAGAAGGCAGACATTTCATGACCCAAACTAATTGCCATCACACAATCATTTTACTTAATTTGAGTAATGAAACGTCTGCAAGAAAACCAAGCTCAAAGAACACGAAGGACCCTTCATTTCAGCCCTGAGTTACGAATATTCTCCTTTATGAGTGAGGGTCTGCCAAGGAGCCCTCTGGGAAGGGAAGGGAGGGGCAAGCATGACACAGCTGTTTACCTCATCTAGGTCTATCTGGCTGGGTCCACCCTTTGGCTGGAATTTCTGCACAGTCTGGACAAAGGCCCTACTTAATGCAGCCTAACTGACAATGCCGGCATTCAATCTTAGCAATGCAGGAGAGACCTTCTGGTCAATGGACCTCTCTTCTGCGCCTTAAGCAGGATCATCAAGAGAAGTAGGGAGAAATTATGGTGTGTGAGGGGCCTGTGTGTTGAAGCCACCTCTCCACACCCATTTAAGGAATCTAGGTGCTCCTTGAAGCTACAACCTGGATTTTCTCTTTTATTGAAACTTCTTTCATTATTGGAACTTCTATGTCTCTGCTCTTCTATTGGAATCTTATTTCTCCCCCCCCCCCCTATAATTTTGGGAAGCATTTCTCTTTATTTACAGAGAGCTTGCTTTTTCAGGTTGAGTCAGAGAGGCAAAAGGACTAAGTAATCCTGGCCTGTTGTAAAAATTGATTGGTTGGTTGATTGATTGGTTAGTGCAGCAAATCATTTTTGACTCCTAGCCGCCACAGAGATTTGTGGTAAAATAAAATGGGCATAAAATACAGATAGTTCTCAACTTATGGCCCCAATCGAACCCAAATTTTCTGTTGTTATGCAAGACAGTTAAGTGAGTTTTGCCCCATTTTATGACCTTTCTTGCCACAGTTTTTAACTGAATCACTATGGTTGTTAGCGGTTATTAAGTGAATGTGATTGTTAAATGAATCTGGCTTCCCCATTGACTTTGCTTGTCAGAAGGTCGCAAAAGGGGATCACGTGACCCTGGGGAGATTGCAAACCGTCATAAATACATGCCAGTTTCCAACCGTCCAAATCTTGATTACGGGACCCTGGGGATGCTGCAGTGATCGTGTGAAAAATGATAAGTCCCTTTTTTCAGTGCCGTTGTAACGGTCACTAAACAAACGGCTGTAAATAGAGGACTATCTAAGCAAAAAAAGCTACCTAAGATTAAAGCAGAACAGCAGAATAATTTAAAGTAGCTTCTTACTACAGGAAGAGACAGCCAGCCTGACAAGTTTTCTAATATTAAGAAATAGCTCTACTTCAGTAGTGCGATGTTGCAATAGTGCATTACGCTGTAATGTAATTCAACGCTCTTGCAGTATTGCATAGGGACGATAAAGATGGCCGCACACAAGCTACAATTATGGTGTGTTGTGTCCTCAGATATTCCCTTCTTTAGTCTTTCTGTCAGATCCCTGTTCATATAGGTAGTCCTTGATTTACGATGTAATTGAGTCTGAAAATACAGTTGTAAGTCATGCCGGTCATTAAGCGAATCATGTGACTGACCAATTTTAGAGTCTTTTTTTGCAGTGGTTGTTGAGCGAACCTGATGGCTGTAAGCAAATCTATTGTTTGTCATACATGCTTTTGGTTGGAAACTGGTAGTAAACTCCAGTTTCCAGCCAAAATGAGCTGGGGGTTGGAGTAGAAGACCTCCAAGGTCCCTTCCAACTCTGTTATTCTATATTATACATAGCTGTAAATGCAGGTTGGTTACTGAGTACCAAAATGTCATGTGACCCCAAGGGAGCTGGCACCTATTGGAACTACAGGTCTGGGTTATGAGTGCCTTTGGGGGGAGTTCTATCATAACTTTGGTCACTGAACCTCTGGCCATAAGTCGAAGACTACATGTATTAAGGACCTTCAAAACTCAAGTAGAAAACAATTTCTTAAAATAATTGCCCAGGGCTGTTCTTTATCTCTGCCTGTGGTTTACTGCTAGGCCATCATAACAGTGTCTTAATCTCTGATCCAGCCCAGCAGAGAGGTGGATTATGTAACTTCTTTTGTAGTAATTTAAAAGCAATATTTCCTCACTACTTTTATAATTTGTCCTGCAACACACATGTCACAATATTTCATTGACCGTCTTGGTAATACAGGTAGTCCTCGACTTTCAACAGTTCGTTTAGTGACCGTTCAAAGTTGCAACGGCACTGAAAAAAGTGCCTCAGGACCGTTTTTCACACTTCCGACCATTGCAGCATCCCCAGGGCCACACGATCAAATTTCAGATGCATGTCCACTGACTCATATTTACGACGGCTGCAGTGTCCCGGGGTCACGTGATCACCTTTTGCAACCTGACAAGCAAAGTCAATGAGGAAGCCAGATTCACTTAACAACCGTCTTACTAACTTAACAACTGCAGTGATTCACTTAACAACTATGGCAAGAAAGGTTTGTAAAATGAGATTTGTAAACTCTGTAAACAGCTTAGAGAGGGCTGTAAAGCACTGTGAAGCGGCATATAAGTCTTAAGTGCTATTGCTATTGGTGTGGGCATCTGTCACACATTCCAATCTCTTGGCAATTCACCCTGTGCCAATTTAATCCCATATGAGAAGAAAGACCAGAAATTCTGGCCCTTTCTGAATTGCTTTTCCGATGGTATGTCCGTTTCTTATTAACACTGA